GATGGTGTCAGGTGTTCCATCAGTTTCTCTGTGTCATGGTGTAAAGCTGATGCCTGGTTCTGTGCTCGACTGTTTCAGGCGTGCGGTGGAGTGTGTCCATGCCGTGGCTCGTGCCGACCCTGCAGAGACTCTGAGCACGGAGGCCATCCGGAGGCTCGTGGCTGCCGGCAGGTCGCTCAGAGAGTCTGCAGACCAACTCCTCTGCAGAGACGCAGCAGAGGCTCATCGACAGTGCTCCTTCGCACTGAGGTCAGATCTCACTGAAGAACTCTAGTCCACGCCCACCCGCTGTGTTGGCTCCGCCCTCAGTTCGTATAAATTGCCTCGGGACCAGAGATCGACTCCCAAATTGCGTACTTTTTCTTCAGCCACTAAGGAGCCAGTGAGGTCCAGATCTTAAAGGGTTAGAGTCTGGGGTTACAGTACGTCACCACCGTTCTGTTTCGTACGGGCTTGGTCCTCTAAGGGCTGTCACTAGTGGGTTAAAGGGCGAAGCAGGATGTGGTCCGTGTGAACCATGAACACACAGACATCTGCCTAAATTACAATCGCCCTGAACCTCCGCTGATCCATGCGCTCGGAGCGCACCGGGTGACAGATGTGTAACCTCTGCGCCGGTCTGAAGCTGAGGATTCAACTTACTCACATAGTTAAAAAAGGTGGAATCATCTCATCTGGACCAGTCTCTTTAAGGGAAGAACGTTTCGTCTTCCATCCAGAGGACTTCATCAGTCTGTGGATGGAAGACGAAACGTTTCTCCCTTAAAGAAACTGGTCCAGATGAGATGATTTCACCTTGTTTTGTTATCTACCTGGATGATTGAGCCTAGAACGTTTCGTCTTCCATCCAGAGGACTTCATCAGTCTGTGGATGGAAGACGAAACGTTTCTCCCTTAAAGAAACTGGTCCAGATGAGATGATTTCACCTTGTTTTGTTATCTACCTGGATGATTGAGCCTACAAACCTTTTTCTGAACCATTTTGTCCTTGGTGTCCTCAGGTTGTTTCTGTGAGTAGCAAGAGGTCCATCTGGCCTCAGACCTTTGATTGTTGATGATGATCGTGATGCCAACTCCTAGTTGAAGGTGGAAACGTCCTAGCTCTGAAAGATAAAAACAAGAGCCTGCCTGCGTGTTCTGCTCCGAGGCAGATCCTCAGACTGTGCAGGTCTGGGTATATCC